ATCTACCAGTAGGGTTGGTAACTTAGCAACGCTTGGGCTAAAAGACCTTTCAGGGGAGATAATATACCTATTAAGGAATACGATGATGAAGGATATTGTAGAGCCAAGGCAGAGATTAAGGACATCGAGAGACAGATTATCCTGTTGGAGGCGGATCGTCCAAGTATGGTCAAGAGCAACCCAATGGACGTAGACAATCAGATACTACCTATTGTGAACGAAGATGACATGTTAGTATGTCAGAGAACTGGTCTGCTCTCAGAGACGGTGAGTGAAATAGCAAGCATGGGGGTCTATGGCAAAAAGCCTTTAATCTCTTCGAAGCCGACAACGTTTATGCTATCTTAAAGCTCTTAGAAACAAACTTAAGGATGCAAGGTGGGACAGCATTAGCCTACGTACCAGTCCTCCCAAGAGCCGAAGCATTTGACCCGTTGGACGAAGACGAGAAGAAGATTCCTCCTATCCAGTACACGGAAAAAAGCTTGTATCTAAACAAGCCGTACGTCGTGAGGGTAAGAAGAACTCTCCAAGATATCGCTAACCTCCAAAACGCTATTAAGCAAGGGGACTATGCAACAGTTGGGGACTTTGCCTTCATCAAAAACCAAACAAGACCTTCCCCCGGCCCTTGGTCCTCAGGCCGGGGGGAACCTGGGAACATAAAGAAAGATTACCAGGGGAGCCCAGCGAGGATGACCGGAGGGAATTGTCCCCTGTACCTAGTCCAAGAGGGTGTGGAGAGTCATTTGAATGAAGTCATGAGGCCTCTATAGCTAAGTATCTTTTTGAATAGCCAGATTACGAAGGAGAGCTTGATAGGAAGAAGGATTAGAGAAGGGCCTCAATTGAAAGTTTCCATTTGAACATAGATAGGATAAGCTTATGCTCTTTTGTAGTCATGGGTCTTTAGAAATTGCCTCATATAAAGAGGTCGAAGTAGGGGGAGTGAAAAGTAAAGCTAAAAAGGACAAACCACCCTTAAGGCTCGTGCTAAAGCAAGCGTCATGAAACGTGACGGAAGGCTTCGCTTAAGATACTGGTGAAGAC